CGCTGCTGGTTTAAAATAAAAATAAAAGATTTTATTTCGTGAAAACAAAAAAACATCATTAAAGACCTTTCACCCCCACGGACTTTTATTTTTAAAAAGTGTGAGGGGGTGGTTGAATAGTTAACGACTTATGCGGGTCCCGCAGCTCTCTGCGACTTGAAGGAGCGACTGGAGGTGCGGTCTGCAAGAGTGGGCCCACGCCGCCTCCGCGGAACTGGCGTTGGGCGGGCGTTTCCAGAAATCCACTCCCTCTCCCCATCTCACCACGCCCGAGGGTTCCAGATCAGTTATGCTGTCCCATTTCATGCTCCTGTGTTTTTTTGTTTTGTTTTGTTTTGTGTTGTTTTGCTTTGTTTTGCTTTAGGGGCATCGATTTGGCAAAATACGTGAAAAGTGGAATCGTTGACCTCACATTCCCAGAAGATTCGATCACAGCAATAATAAAATCTCAGGTCTGTCCGGCCGCAGGGTCGATGACCTTGCCTGCTCTTCTTAGTTGTAAAGTTTTAAGAACCCCTTCACTCTGAGGATAGGGAAACTGAGGCATGGGCCATTAATCGACTTGCCGAAGGTCACACAGTTTGCAGGTGAACCGGACCTGGTCACTAGGCTTCAAGTTCGCCTTGCAGTCTATATGGTTTCTTCCCACCCCATAGACGCCTCATAATGTTTTATACCTACCTTGATGGGCGAATTCATTGTAATTCTCTCACCCCCACAGGGTGTCCTACCCACGTGTTTAAGGGCAGCCTAATATGTCCCGCTGGCCAACTATTTTTAACTTTGTTTTCAATTACTCACTCAAAACTCCGAAATCAAAGCCGGCTGGTGGTTCACCTTGGTATTGAGGCATTAGCAGTGGTGTTATTTAAGGTGCTATTCAGTGTGGGGTAATGGGACGAAAAGACAGGTATGTGGAGGATGTGGGCGTATTTGTGTTTATGACTCTGATCTGTTGCCGCATGATTCTGCTCTTCCTTTGAAAAATCAAAGTATCTGGACATGGTCAGTTGTAGGTGAACAGTTACTGTACTGCCTTTCTTTTTCTAACTTTTCCTCTTCCAAGACTAGGCCTGGACCTCCACTTCCCTGTAAGTCCCTGCAGGTAGCCTGTGAAACCCCAGGGCTCCTCAGACTTCCCAGGTACCCAATAACCTTCGCTTCCTTTTGGGGGGCTGCAGGGAGTAAGTGGGAGGCAGACGTCTTGCTTCGTCTTTGTTAACCAGTTTCAGGCCTAAAACAGCCCTGAAATTCAGTCATTTCAGGGTGGATCGCCTGTAGGATCCACTCAGGGAGAAAAGCTGGAGCCTGTAGCAGGGAAACATAGGTAGTGCCTAGGGAATTAGCCTCATAAACTGAGTACCCCACCCCACCCATAAAGGGTAAAAGAGAGAGAAACTGGGATAATGAGGAGAGATTTTAAAAGCCTGTTGATGTAATCAGTAGAAGAAAAATTTGTATCACACTTTCAGGTTCTTACATGTAATCTCCCAAACCCTCCCTCAGCTGCACACCAGTGTACACCTAAGTACACATATTAAGCCATCCCACTTACTCTTTCTCCAGACTTTCCTCCCCACCAGCAGAGTCACCCACCAAGGAGTGCATGCTTCTGGTAAAAACCTTACATTAACTCCTATAGAGTCACGGGAGTTTTCACTGCTCCTCCCATTTACTTAGAGGAAACCCCTTATTTTCAAGACTGCTAAAACCCAGCCTGCTTTCATTTGGGTTCGATTGGTTTTAGTGGCCTAACCTACAATTCCAGGATATGTGTGTCTGTGGAATGGGGGTGGGAGCAGCCTATGTGCAATCTGAAGGAGGGGTGTGGGAACTCTACCCGCTGACTACTGACTCTGCTGAGAGCACGCCTCGGGAGGATGCAGATGCATGCTGTTGAAGGCATTGCTTATTCCTCTTTGTATGCCTCTCAGATGCTGTGTCCTTGGACACACAGGAACAATCGAGCCTCTAGACCTGCAATTAGGTTCCTGGATAACCAAAAAGTCCTCCTTTTTTTTTTCTTTCTATTTTTGAGACAGGTTCTCACTCTGTCATCCAGTCTGGAGTGTAGTGGCTGGATCTCGGCTCACTTCAGCCTGGACCTCTGGGCTCAGGTGATCCTCCCATGTCAGCCTCCTAAGTAGCTGGGGCTACAGGCCCACACCACCACACCTGGCTAATTTTTGTATTTTTTGTAGAGATGGGGTTTCTCCATGTTGCCCAGGCTAAGTCCTCCTTTTTGAGAAAATTTCATGGTCTCAGGGAGGGTGAGGCCTATGGTGTACCCGCTTCTCAGTCCAAACCAGGCCTGTGAGAGACTGTGAAAGGAAAAAGGCTGCCAGAGAGAGATGGGAAATACCGGCGATGGGGAGGAGAAAAGAGCTGGGAAAGTCTAGAGGCCGGCCCTATCGCTACCCCACCGAGCTTGGTAGCTGCAGGCTCCAGCCGCAGGCGGAAAACGCCGGGCGACACCAGAGTTGGGAGCTAAGAGAGAAGCCCCAGCCGCTGGGGAAGGAAACTGCGGGTTCCGGGCTGCCTTGTCTCCAGCTTCTCTGCTGAAGCCCGGTAGCAGTGAATGCGCGCTGACTTTCAGCGACGACTCCTGGAAGCAACGCCAAATGGTGACTGAAGTGGGAGATCCTGCGCCTCTCCATCCGGGCTCCCCAAGTCCTCTGGGCAGAGCGGCAGGAGACGGGGACCGGTACCCTGCTTCCAGCTCCCTAGAGTGCATGTTCGTGCTCCCTGGGGACTTCCAAGCCTGAGACACAGGCTCTGGGGAGGTCAGGTTTGGCTGAAGCACACTCATCCGGTGACTTTTCCATTGTTCTTTTTGCATTCACTGGGATGCTAGCTTCCCGACATCCTGGTTGGATCCTAATTTGAGGCGGGGGCGAAGGTGGGGGGCAAAAATAGCCTCTTGTCCAAAGAGGCCCAAGATGCATTCACAACACTGTGGTTGCCTTCAGCACCAGAGCACTTCCAACTGTAATAATAAAGACTAGATTTCCCTGGGTCCCTCCGCAGTCCGGCAGAGAATTCGGCGTTTCAGAGGCCTGACAAGTCATCTTTTCTTGCCGCAAGGTGGGAGAGCTGATTCTCCCGGGCCTCGCGAAAACAACAACAAAAAATCTTAACAGGCTGTGGGCCCGCTAACCTAAACTTTCAGGTTTGGAGACTTCTCAGGGCCTGGCTGTCGTCACGACTGGACTGCTTGGCCCCTCAGTCTGTCCCCCGCCCCCGGGACCCAGCTCTTTCCGGCTTCTTTGCAAAAGCATAGAACTGTCTCGACCAGGGCGCTAGGACTGGAAGATCGGGCTGTGTCTAGGCCGCTGTCCGCGAAATCTGAGACGTTTTTCCAGCTTGGCTAGGACCGACTTCGCCGCGGATTTGAGCTTTCTCTGCACTAGGGGGTCTCCTGCCGTCCTCGACCAGTGGCGTAACTTGGGAAGGGGTGTGGGAATTAAGAATGGCCAGGAGCGTTGGATTTTAAATTCCTTAGAAATCCATATTGAATGCAGTCCTTAGAGATTGAAAAAGGCGGGGGACGGCCAGCGGGGAGACCAGTTGGCCGGGAAAGCCAGGCTCTTGAGGTAACGGGATTTGCAGGGAATTTTGAAAAAGCTCCTTCTCTTATGTTAAAGTTCCTAGTTGCTCTCGCCTGGCACCTCTCCATAGGTTCTCCGGAACAAGAGCCCGGAATAGGCGAAGCTCGGCACAGCGTTCGGGCCATAGGGAAAGAGTATTTATTTGCAGCGTGCGGGGCCCAGCTGGAATACGCCTGAGGAGCTCTCCCTAAACGCTGCGCTCTGCCGCCCGCTCCTTGCTCTCAAGGCGCCTGTGTCTCCTTCTCCACCAGGTAGAGCTGGAAGGAGGAAGCGGTCTTTGAATTTTCAGTTACAAGACCCTGGTTAGTAACAGAGCTTTTTGTTTGTTTGTTTGTTTCCTTTTGCCTTACCCAGATTTGCTTAGAAAACGTTCAATAGGAACATTAAAAACCTGTGCGGCGAAATCCAGGAGGAACCAGCATATTCTAAAGCACCCGGGGCTGATGCGAGATTATCATAATCGTTTTCTGGCGTTTTGGACAGGTTAACATTTTGCCAGAGTCCCCAAATTCCAGACCTGCAACTAAAGTGACTCTGGGCTTGCAGCGTCTATGAGACCCAGCAGATCTGGAAGAAAAACGTATGGATTTGGGATTTGCAGGCGTTTGTAAAGGCGCAGATCAGACCCGGACTTTCAACTGTCCTACCTCCCTCTTGGAGTAACCCATGGGGAAACCGGGAAGCCAGGGGTTAAAGTCGGCCCAGGAGCATCCAGGGGACGACTGGCGCGCCGCCTTGGCCCGGGCCTCAGTCTCTCCCTTCCTCTCATTGGTTCGCGCTCTCGGGGTTTCTCTTGTTCCCTCCTCGCTATTGGTTGGGGGCTGGCTTTTTCCCCCCTCAGTCTTTTTCTTCCTCCCCCTCCCTCTCCCTCACCCCTCGGACAGGAGCGCACCGCCTGCCCCCTGTTCCTCGGAAAGGGAGGAATTCAGCGGAAAAAAAAGTTTCCCAGAAGTTTGGATCAGAGGGAGGACGGGAAGGCAGAGAGGAAGAGAGAGAGAGGGAGGAGAGAAAAAGAGAGGGAGGGGAGAGAGAGAGGAGAGAGAGAGAATAATAATAATAACAAAAACAAGATGAAGTTCAGGGGACACAGCCTGTGAGCGCCTGCCCCGGTGGGTGGGAAGCAGGACTCGGGCGCTCATGCAGCGAGCGGGCGGCGCTCGGGGCGCTAGTTCCTAGCAGCTGGGCCAGCGTAGGGGCGCAGGTCCGATCCGGCAGCGGAGGGCGGAGGAGGACGCAGGGGGAGGGTGCAGAGACCCGTGAGCCGCCGCCTCAGCCTCGTCCGCCGCGCCTCTGCCTCTCCCGGGCCGGGCCCGGTGGGCGCTCCGAGCTTCAGGGCGCCGGCTGCTCCCTCGGTAACGGGGGCGAGCGGAGGCAGGGGTGTGGGCGGCTAAAATGAGTGAAAGGAGAAGATCTGCAGTCGCCCTGAGCTCGCGAGCACATGCCTTCTCCGTTGAAGCCTTGATCGGCTCAAATAAAAAACGGAAACTGCGAGACTGGGAGGAGAAGGGGCTGGACCTGTCCATGGAGGCGCTGAGCCCCGCGGGCCCACTCGGAGACACGGAGGACGCGGCGGCACACGGCCTGGAGCCTCACCCGGGTGAGTGCGTCGCAGCCGACCGCGGGAGGCGGGCGGAGAGGGGACGCCGAAGGGCCAGTCGCCAGTCGCCGGTCGCCGGTGAGGAGCTAGGCCTTGCCGTTGACGCCCTGCCGTGACCCAACATAGGTTTCTTTTTCTTCGCGCAAATGCCCTGAGCCTCCCTAAATTTACCGGAACCAATTTTTGGGGCTGAACTGAGCCTTGCATTTTGGTCGCCAACCTAAGCAAGGAGTCCTCTTTGTTTGCATTTCCTTCTTTTGGGAGCAGAGCGCAGCTTTCTGGGTGTCCGTGGGTGAAGGGGCTGCCGGTCCCTGGGATTGGGAGGGGCGCGGGACGAAGGCAACGGCGGGAGCCCAGATCTGGGACTAGCTTCTGAGAACTCGGGAGGACTGGCGCGGCGTTCTTCAATCCAATACCTCAGTCTCGGGGGAATGACCAGTTTGTCTCATTTAGCTTTCAACCTCGTCCTTGCCCTTCTCCCACCAACTTTTCGATGGTGGAACATAATTATATTTCTACTTCTTTGGCGTTTACGGAAACAAGAATGGGTATTAGACCCCCTACTCCCTGGGTCACTCCTCAGGGCCCACATCTCTGTGTATTTAGGGTGTGGGTACGATTGATTTGTGTCTCAGATCCTACAGTAACCCATGTATATTATGTGCACGGAACATGAAAAAAGCAGGGCGGATATCGTGTCTGTATTTTAACAGAACCCTAGGAGGGGAGAAGCCAACTTTAACGTTTTGTGTTAAGTGCCAAGATTTCAACTGTGCAAAAACAGCCAGGGGGAACAGCTGTTGTCGGAAGAATCTTGAGTGTGCGCGCGCACGCACACACACACACAACGCTCGCAACTTGGTTTAGCGGTTTCAGAAGCTTTCCAGCTCGGACTTCTAAAACCATACTGGAAGGTGCTCCTGCTGAACAGCCAGAGCTGGGGAGTAGACCCCGCTTCGCACGCTGGCAAGCCTCGGGAGGGGGCAGCGGCCTGCACTGGGATAGAGACGGCCTGGGGCTCAGGAACTTGGGGATCCCAACCGCAAAGCTGTCCAACTCAGAGGAGGGACAGCTGTCGCTTACATTTTCTCTTTAGGCAGTGACAGTTCAATTTCCATGCTCCCGAGGCTAATAATAATGCGATTAGCGGGTGACCTGCAGAGATAGAGTTTTATGAATTCTCCGTGTTTTTGTGGCCCGTTACGGTATTTGAGTTTAGTGCTGGGGAATTATTTTTATTAGTCGATGAAAAGAAAATTAAAAGGAGATTTATTTCGACTGTCCGAGCGTTTTCCTGTATTTGAATGCAAGTGCTTGTCCACGCGGACCCCTGCGTGGACATTCCAGAAAGGGACCCAGGGCTAATGTGTGTTTCCCTTCCCTGGCCAGACCCTATTTCCTCACATCATTTATCTATTGTCAAAATCTCGCGTGGGCCTTCATACAGTTAGAAGTTCTTGCAGGGGTTATGACACCTTAGAATTTTTAAGTTTCTTTTATTTTCCCCACGGCGGAAAAAACAGAAGTTGTTTAGCTGCGCGTGGCAGACGTCCTGTCCCCGGGAAGTTTTCTCTTGGGAGGCCCCAGTTCGCACGGAGCCCGTCTAGGGCCTTATGTTCAAAAGGGGTAATACATGGGGTCATAATTAGAAACTCAGATCAGAGTTTGCTCTTTCTGCGGTTCTCCTCAGCCTGAGCCCCATTCAGGAGGCGGAAGAGAGAAAAGTTAGGGAATGAGGCAAAAAGAGACCATTCCAGAGCGTGAACGTGGGGAGCTGAGCTCCTGAATTCTATTTACTCTCCCGCGGGATGGGGGTAGGGTGGAAGATCTGACAGAACTAACTTTATGTAACAGAGTTCGGGTGGTCATTTCCCATTACGTTATCTTTTTTCTCTCTTTTTTTTTTTTTTTTTAAGAAAAAGATGGGTATTTGGATTACAGAAAACGAAATATATTTGTGGGGCAAGGGTCTAGGAGGAAGAAGCTGAAAGCCCAGCACTCTCTGGCTTTCTGCAGAGCTGGGCTGCAGGCCGGGGCCTAGCCTTTTAGTGGGCCGGGGGAATCCTTAAGTTGGAGCCCCCACAATGGCTAAGACTTTTTTTTTTTTAACGATTTGCTGATAGGATGAGAAAAGATCTTTTAGTAAAAAGGGCACCTTGGCGTGGAGACGCAGTGGTCCAGGGAGCAGAAGAGGTGGTGCTGTGGGCTCCAGACTCAGGCAGTAGCGAAAGGCGCGACCGCGGCTGGAGTTCTTTTTAGGCCTTTATTTTGCTGTAATGTAGCACCCTAACGAACACACACAGGGTCACATTTAAAGATCTGTGTATGGAGGAGTAGCGCAGACGACCCTATTGTGCCCAGGGCAGCGTCTCTTCCCAGGTGAGCGTCATTATGTTTCAATTCTCTTCTCCTTCTTAGGGCCAAGAAGCCGCTGTGTGGCTCTCCCGCCCTAGGCCGATAACAAACCCGGAATAGGAAAAGAACAAAAAATTGTTTTGGGGGAAGAATTAAACACTCACACACACGCACACGTTCATGCCTAGAGTATTCTCACCATCTCTCATGACACGGTGTTTTAGTCCGCTCTGCCGGAGCCTCAAAATTCTGCGATCTTTAGACAACCTTAGGGTCAGATTTTAATGTTTAACTTTCATTCAAAACGCGGCCTTTTCATTCAAAATCGCGGCCTTTTGCTTTCTCACAGCCCATTTTTCTTTCCGCGTCTGGACAGAGCTGGCTTTAGTTGGCACCCAAGCACCCGCAGCCTGGGGCACCAACCTGCAGCAACGCGGGATCCGTCCTGCCTGCGCGTTGTAGGCACTCACTCCACAGAGGAAACTATGTATTTCGAAAGTGTTTCAAAAATTCCACCGAGCCTGGTGGCCCCGAAAAACCCCAAGGCCCGCCAGACTTTGGAGAAGGGTCTGTGAGGTACCCTCACTGTCATACCTACGCCGGCACTCGTCTTTTGGAGAAGCCACTAGGAGTGCCTCAAGACCAGCCTCGGAGGGGCCTGGCTCTGGAGCCTGCTCGTCCCCGCCCTCTCCCAGAGCAACAGAGGAACTTTAGAGCTAGGATCGGCTGGAACTGCTGCTCTGGCTGCGGCCTTGCAAGTATATTTCAGGCGCTCGGCGGCGCCATCTGCGCTCGGACCTCAGCCCCGGCTCCACCCGGAGTCCTCAGCTAGGGCTTGGGCCTTTCCCGCCAAAATCTGCTGAGTGCGGCCGAAGCCGGGTCTCCCGCGGAGCGAAATAATTCAAACCTTCTGTGGAAGGATTTCCTCCTCCAGAGACTTCGGGCCGGGCCACGCAGCCGCTGCACTCCAGAGGCCTGGGGAGGTGGCGGCACGCGCGGGTGGGCACCTAGACAGGCACACCCAAGAATACGCAGGCAGATTGACACTCCGCGTACACGTGCACACGTGGCAGGTCTCGCATTCTCGAACGCACCCGACAGCTCAACTCCTAGTGAAATGAGACAGGAAGAGCCCGTGCAGTAAGCGCGGCCGCCCCAGGGCACTTTTTTCTTTGGAGTTATCTAGATCCAGTGGTCACATGAATTAATCTGCCAGTTTATGGTTTGTTTGCTCAAAATAAAACTGTGAGATTTTAATTCTGACATCACCTCTCTACCCACCTCCAACCCCCAATAGGGAAACAGGGTGAACACGGAGGAAGTGACTCTTCACTGACGTTTAAGTAACAAATAAAAAGGGATGAGTTCAAGCCAGCGGGGGAGAATGTGTGTGTGTTTGCGCGGGGCAAGCGCCAGCCAGGGCACAGGCCGGAGCTCGGACCGCAGAGACAGGGTGTTCCGCCAACGCGTAGAGTGAGATGCCGGAGGGTCTGCTAGGGTAGAGTCCAGGGATAAGGAACCTTGGTTCGTCTCTGCTGTGCACGCCCCTGCACTGGTGCTGGCCTGGAGGTTCGTGGCTTCGAGGAGTCAAGGGTGAGGCCTGGTGGACCTACGCAAGGCACTCACTTGTCAGGTTAAAACGGTCTTCCGCGGAGGTCACCCTTTTGGTAAGTGACCTTGTGTGAAGGGAAGCGAGAGGGAGATAAGGCCCGAATTTGTCATGGGCCAGTGAGGAGTATTGTTCGCTGAGAGGATGACCGCCAAGGGCCTTTTTCTGCGCAGTGATCTGATCTTACTAAATTAGAAGCCCTTTGGGTGCGCGGGGCTGGATTCCCGGGCAGCTGAGATGGTTATGAAGACATTCTAGGTAAAACTCCGGCTCCTGCGCGGTGGCACAATACAAACCAGTAGGCAAAGGGAAGTAATTGTAACCTGTTCCCACCCAAAGAAGTGACCACGGAAAATTGCACGAGGGCAATGGGAAGTTCAGTGAATGGGAAAACCCAGATGCAGAGTTTGGACTGTGATGGGGAGTAGGTAAAATGGGCTGTGGTTTGCATTTCCAAAGGTCCCTTCCCACCCTAGGTTCCCGCGCTTCAGAAGCCAGTAATGATAGACCCAGGGATCACAAGCGGGTGTGCGGGTCTCTCCCTTTGCTGCCACGAAGTGCAGGGCGACCCCTCACCCGCCTCTGGCGTCCACCTCTGCACCTCAGAGACCCGCTGGGGAAGCACAAACCTCATGGGCAGCGAAGGCTTTCCAGGCAACTTCACACACAGTCTACGGGCGCTGCAATTCTGAATTCAGATCTTCTACTCCCAACTCAACGTTATTTCTTACTGAGCACTATATTTGGGCTCTGAGCTTGCCACTTTGGGTATCTTGATTTGTATAGGTGAAATTCCCAGAAGGAAAGTTTCATGGGGGCAACCTTCATGCCGGGAGGAAGGGAGAATTAAATTTCTTAAGCAGGAATTCAGACTGAAATGATGGTGACACAAATTGTCTGACATTTTTCTGACACCTCCCATACCAATGACTTCAAATGGTATAAAAATCTTTTAATTATGAAAGAAAATTTGTTTAAAATAGCTTTTAATATAGACAGCATGTGAGGAGTGAGTGAAGAATGGCATGCAATGCCT